ATGCATATACACACAGAGAGAGATAGAGAGGGAGGGAGAGAGAGAAAGAGAGAGAGAGAGAGAAAAAAAAAACGAATAAGATGTTCCGGAAAAGGTGATCCCACACAACCATCTGGTGAAACGCAACCAAGCAACAATGGGATTGCCTTGGCTGGCATCCGAACTAAAATGCAAAATCCAGATGCTTTATGAAGCGTTAGTGTTTTGAGCCTTCTAAACAAGGTTTTAGCTTAGGGGAAGTACTTCGTCCAAAAGGAAAGAAGCTGACAAAAGGTCACGTGAAATAAACACATAGTCACATAGCCTTGTGGGTTGTGGCTCGAACCTTCATGCCTGCAGTGCAGACCTGAACGTTGCCTACGGGGCTGTATTTTTGGATTCTACATGAGCATGGTCAACTTCTGACCGCAGGTCATGGGCCCAACGGGTGATCCAAGCGGCTATGGGGGTCCATATTCTCAATGGCCGTGCCGGTGTACCACACTCGGAGACCACAAGCTAGGCTGCCCAAAAGCAGCATGGCGAGGATGCGGAGGACACGCCCCCGGCGCCAGGAGGTCAACAGCCCTTCCGGGCGGAGTGGGTGGAGGTGTCGAAATGACAAGCCGCCCGGATATCTTCAATTGGGCAAGACATGACAAACCATGCGGTTCTGAGACCTACCACGGTAAAAGGATGTAAAAGGTTTAAAAAAAAGCTCAAAAGGTCCCAGAGAGGCCTCCAAGAATCTCCCAGCCCGCCAGCAACCCAAAGAAGCAAAATCCTGGTCGCCGTGTTGGATGCAAAAAGGGAGAAGTCAAGGAGTGGCTGTTGCAGGCATGACCTAGCTATAGCAGCTAGTCCTCTACCCTCAAAAAGTATCAAAAAATCTTGGGCGTCGGCGAGGCCTCTTCAAGGTGACTATCCCATCACATGAACACATCTCCTGTCTCTTTGCACAGGCCCGCAGCCACCATCAATACTGCAGAGAGCGGTAGCAGCAAAAAGCCTGGCTGCAGCTCCTTCACAAAGAACGAGTTCATTGATTGCTGGTTAAGCTGACAGAATAGGGTCTTTCTCAGCTTGGCCGAATAGATGTACAACCTATATATATATATATACAACTCTAATTTTAAAAAATGTGAGGCTTCTATATAACTCTTCATCTTGGCACCCAAACACTGCAACCTGGGTGGGATGATGTGCCCTCATCTCCAACCGATGTAGCTTAAAATCCTGCTGCAGTCTGGCCCACTTTCTTTGAACAAGACCAGGTTTTACAAAGTCTGCCGAGGCCCACCAGACATATTGAAAACAGCTATGAAGACATTCCAGCCGGAACAAACCTGCCTTGACACACGGTGTGTACAGCAGCGCTGCCACAAGAATCAGAAGGAGGCAAAGGAGGTCAGCGCGCCCAACAATGTAGAGCACCTGTATGCTGAAACTGGATTTGAAATCGGCGATCGGCTTATCTTGTGCCAGCTCACGGTGGGTCTAAGATCTTGCAACCAAGGCGCACTCTCTGTATGAACGGGGTGCGCTAAGAACAAAGCCCCAAGCAGCAGCGCAAAGTCTGCAGGAAGACCCAGGGCGAAGCCAAGAACACCCATCAGAACTGAACAAACCTCCAAAAGCGGCACCAGAAGTTGAAGTGGCTAAAGCACATTGTCCCTCGACTGTCCTTATGCACGACCCTACGTAAGCCTTTTCCGCAAACAATGTGTGCAGCAGTACTTCCACCCAATGGGTGTTGTTAACATGACATACAGTATACTAAGTAATTATACTGCATGGGTCGGCAAATGCACCGTGAAGGCTTTGTGACTTCTTGCTTGCCAAGGTTCCCAATTCAATAGGACGTTGACGACGTGGAAACCAGAGCCTCTCGCGGAAAGCCCCAGACCGGCGACCGACGTGGGCGCATGTCCAGGTCTCGAAACAAAAGGACCATGGCCGCCACTGGCCACCTGCTAACGTGGGGGTCTCGGACGTAAAAGGGCAGCACGCAAGTTGTGAGCTGTAGAGGCGCCAGGAAATGGCTCACACAACAGGTGATACGGTGGCTCCGTCAGCCTTCGAGCTCAGTTCTGTGTGAACCCTGTAACGATGTAACCACTGCAGGGCAGGTGTGGGGACCCCGTTTGGTTCTAGGAATTTGGTGCCGGATGTTGTGAGCTCTTTCTCCAAGCTCCTCCGCATTGCGATGTGTTTAACTACCGTTTCAATACAACCATAACATGACAACATATCACTCGGGCTCCTTCTGTTCGCAGGTACCCAACTGTCCTTCAAAGCCAGCCAACGCATGATTCCAACGAAAGCTGAGCACCGTCAATGGCCGGAAGGATTTATGCGTCCACTCGCCCTGGCAGGCACAAAACGCAAAGCTCGTGCCAGGGGCCCTGCCAACAACTGCTCAAGACCATCTCACCGTACACCTCACAATGCTCACACCACAAGCTCGAAACCGGCAAAGCTATATACCACATGCTGTCCAACAAATGCCCAGAGTCTGCATGTCATTGTATATCAATCCCAGCATCTTTGATTGGTTCCCACCAGGACATGCCATCTACTCCCTAAGAAAAGACCTCGTGTCCCATCATGCGGTGGAACTGCGGAAGGAGCCGCAGTTCCAAACGCCGCCGGCACGCCTGAAACATGTCCAGGCCCCAGTAGTCAGTCCTGAAGAGCCGGAGCCAGTTCAATTCCTCATAGACATTGGGGTTCTTCCTCAGCGACAAAAACGAACGGCTGAAAGGATAATACACCAAATATAAATACGCGGATGATTTGCCGAAAACGGAGTTGTTTCTACAATAATGGATGGCTGATAAGATCTGCTGAGGACCACAACCATCTCCATTCCAATAGCTTCAGCCACATTGGGTTCTTAGCTTTCCCTGGTGCCATCTAAGGCTGAGAAAGGCAAAGATTCTTGATCATAGCATCATCCATGAAGAAGCCTTGGAAGGAGTGGACATGCAAGGACTGCCGTGGCGACTCTACGCAGAAATGCTGCCCGAGAACTCTTTACCACAAGCCCTGCAAGTCTCTCTGTCTCCCTCTCTCTCTCTCTCTCTAACTAGCGGAAACACTCGTGTCCGGGCGATCACTCGGAGATCTGCTTTTGTTGGACGATGTTTGTTCAACTCCCATAAGCAACTGTGAAACGAAACCCAGGAGATGGAAACATCTTCGACTGCGCATGGGCCCTTTCTCTGGTGGGCTTGTGACGCACTTGATCCTGATGTTAAAGGGCAAAAAATCGGGAATCCACATCTGAGACTCACCCCTTACCAAGCCTTCCAAGAGTGTCAAAACCACATCCTCTCCCCTTCGAGCCCTTCGGCTCGTCCAGGCCTCCATTGAAGTTGTAGCTCAAGGCGGGTATCCAGGTGATCAAGGCACCCAACGCTAGCAGGACAGCAACAGCAGCCCGAGGCCATGAAACAGAGACCTGCTCGCTTTTCAAATCAGGTGGTACAAGCCACTAGCCACACTATGTTGATCCTTCTGGATCCCCCATGCCGAACCTTCTACCGATTCTCTTGTTCATAAGTTGGAGGTTAAAGCGCAGCCATGGTGTCTTCAGAACTGAGGATGGGGGACCTGCGTTCAATGTATTCAACTCCTTCTATTGCTCCCCGGGCCTTCGCAGCAAGTCTTCTTTCACGGGACAGCTCAAGCAGTTGCTGTGCAATGCAGCGGAGGCCTCATGGAGTGCTGAGAAACTACAGCGCCGTGCGCATTGGAATGTAACAAATATCGGGGGCCAACTGCATGATACAGTGGAGAAAGATCTGCCCCACAGAAAGAGAATCATGTGCACTGTGATCATCAATGATTTCAGTACAGGTTGGACTGTGCTCTAACTCAGCACACTGAGATAAGTTAGATAAGTAGTCTGCCCCAAAAACTGCCAGACCCCACACCGGGAGGCGACCTGCCAGGTCGACCTCTGGAGCAGCATCTTCTAGCAGCTGTCCGGGCACCTGCAGAGGAAGGCGCAGGAAGAAACGTGCGGTGAGGGGAGCAGGTCTCATCTGCGAGGCTTCGGTTTTGGTTGGAAAACACCAGCGTTCAAATGGTTCAGCATTCGCACTTCATAGCTTCCACAAAGCCGGGCACGCTTGTGGTAAATCCTGAGGGTGTTGATGCTGCGGATTTCTGTGCGGACATCCCTTCAGGCCTTCTGGATGGCGGCAATATGGGAACCTACATAGATGCGGTACAGTAACAATCACATCAACTCCGAAGCGTGAGCATGTCTCAAAACTCAGAACAATCTACATCAAAAATCATGACCTCCAGCTATGTCCCTCAGGAGTGACAGGGATAGAACATCAAACATGTTGGGAAGAACCTCAGGCTTTTGCTGAGTTTTCCGTTGAGTCGTCATATCCTACTGTATGCTCAGAGTCTGGCTTAACTCCTCAAGCGTGGCGGCATGTGGCATAACGCGGGAAGTAAGTCTGTGTGTGTGTGTGTTGTGGCCTTAGCTGTGTTTGTGCCTGCATGTCACATGCGTTGATAGGGTGTAACCCAGAACCATGTGAGTGGAACTCAGTCTCTATGTGGGATACCTATCTACGCAATTTCGATCAACGTGCTTTGACACTTGCCGAGTGATGTAAGGTTTTGCTGGGTGATGTCCAGGTGTGCTGAGGGAAACTAAGCACATTTGCAGCGCTTGTGGTGAGAGCCACATCTACGAAATGGTCACACATTCTCCGCCTGCTTGGCTGGAGGGAACTCAAAGGCAATGACAAGGATAAATCTTTATGGATTCTCAAGCCATCTGAAGCCAAGGCTGCTCCAAACCCCTGGCCAATTGTTAGTGTCTTTATGCCTCGGAGCCAGTGAGGTCCCAGGTGTTTGCCGAGTTCCATTTCTGCTCCATGTCGATCATTGCTAAGAAAGAACCTCGTACGATGGATCCTGGCTACAGAACGTTGCGCCACTTCAACGACTATAGTTTACGAAGTAAGCGCATGAGTTAAATATTCAAGTTGGTTTGGCTTAGAATTATGTCTTCTTTGCAGCCTGGTGGGGCACACTTTTGCCTTCGCGTTCTACACTCAGCTCCAATGGCCAGGTTTGGCTTGGGCGGGCCATAAGATCATGTCATCATCGACAAGGAAACGTGCATTTGCCTTGGATTGAGCCAGTGGTGGATCCTTCGGCAAAGTGCCCACCAAGGTAGAAAACTAAGGACACCAATGCAATGTGACAGTTCTGCAAACACAAGGACAGCAATGGCTCAAACAGTTCCACAAGAGTGAAGGAGTGAACCTGAGTGAAGCAGTGAACCTTCAGCCCGGTGCGCGAAAAGCGAGACTGAAGGCCTCTACATACCGAATATGATGCACTAAGCTGCCTGATGGTGAGGCGCTAGCTCCAGGCTTACTTTTCCAGCTGCGACCATCCAAACCTTAGTCCATGGCGAATAGTGCTTGTCATAGGAGCTCTCCTCGGGCGTGCCTCAGGCAAGAGCAAAAAAAAATGAATAAAGTTGGGTGAGCAACCTGGCATCGTTTTCGGCCCGTTGGATCATTGGGCTTGGGCCCGTTGCGCCCACCGTGTTTTCTTCAGATCCCAGACGTCCAAGCTGCTCTCGCCATTGATGATTGGCCAGTTATTCTTCACCTTACTGGATCACATTGGAAGCTAAACGAACAGCTGCCTTTGCTTCCAAACATGAGTATTCGTCTGAAGTGACAGGAACTACCTGTGGCATTTCATTGTTGCTTACAGTATAAAGTACACTGGTGGATTAGAATGATGGGCCATGTCAGCCAATCAGGATGCCTCAAAATACGTCCAAGTGGCACACTGCCCAAGCGGTGCTAGCTCCCTTGCCCGGGCCCAAAGCCTTTCGCTCAGCGCAGTGTGTCCACCCGTCTTCGCTGCCACAGCAGCTTCACACATCAGAAGACCAACTCCTGCCGACTGGACTTGCATGCTGAAGAAGTTGTAAGCAAGACTGTTGGGCTGTTTTAGTTGTGGGTCAACTGATCTTTCTCTTAGCCACAACCTCAACCGATATCTGGCTTTTGCTTGAAATGTGGGGATCTCTTCTGTCCTGGCCCCGTCATCTCCAGGATGGATTTTTCCTCACTAGAAGCGCTCGCTCTCGACCGCCGCTCCACCAGAGAGGCCGAGAAGGTCGGATGCTGCAAGGCCAGGTCGTGGAACAAAATGACCTGAGGGAGCTGCGACTGGAAGTGCCGCTTAAGTATAAGTGTCCCTGTTGGGTTGGCAAAACAGGATCTAAATGCGACTATTGGTTGTAATGACCGCCCACCCTCGGAATTGCCATCATTGCAATTGTAGGAGAAACTTGGAGAATCGCATGACTGGGATCTACAGTATCTGGCTCCAGCTGACACACCTCCAAAATCAAGCCTCCATTTCGGCCAGGCTTGTCCACCAATGGCACCGCCCGCCTCTGTCAGGACTTTGGGGTTGTTGGGCAAAAGCTTCAAGGCCGTGTCATAGAAGCGCTTTGCCTCTTGTGGCCTGGGGCCCAAGGGCACTTCAAGCACGCTTGATAAGGCAACCTTCGGCAACATGTTTGTAGCGCTTCAGTACAGAAAACCCAACAACAAAATCACCCATTGCTGTTCTTCAAGCGTTAGTGGAGGCCACGATTTTGCACCCACACTCGGTTTGACCGGATCGGTGCCGGTGCCTATCTGCATCAACATCCAGGAAGCGAGCCTCAGGTGGCTTCAGCCCAGCATATGAATTGTCAAGAAGCGCTCTGCCGAGCATGAGATTGGACAGTCTCCCTGCACAACCGCATTTGGAAAAAAGGAGGGCTAGGACTAGGATTCGGCACGTGATGTTTGTGTTCTTCCAACGATGCGCTCTGATAGTGATTCAAATGATCCGCAAACAAATGCCTGCGCCGTGCGCCTTGCCCCTCGCCGCACGGGCATGCGCAACGACATGTAGACTGATCGTGAAGCTATATAAACAGGCCAAATCAAGTGCAAAAATAAACACACATAAAGGCTGCTAGAGGTGCAGGGCCTTTCATTGATACATGCCAATTGAGAGATTCTGTGGCTTCTTTTCAATGGATGTTCTCCTAGGGGCTCTCGCTACTCAACCAAATACGTCCTGCTCGCTCTTGAGACTTCTTGGACACTCACTCTTTCATGCCTTGGTGCGGTGGCGTAAATTCACCAAGCAACTTGGTAGTAATTCACCCACCCGTCGTTGGGGAAGAGTTCCAATGCCCACTTTCTCAGGGCTGCCGCTGCCTTGGCCTTCCTCGGGCCAGGTCGGCAGTTCTGGATCACAATTCAATGCAAACAACCTGTTTGGCCGCTTTCAGTACCAAAAGACCCAAACAGCATGCCAGGCATTGCCAAAACATGTGCACAAAAGGTCAGCTCAGTCTCTTGAGGCCATGATGAAAATGAGCTGCTGCTTCCATGACTCGAGCGCCACACTTCGCCCCTTGCCTCCTGGCGGTTCAGCCCTTCAGCCGTGGGGTGGGTTACCAATGGTTACAAAGACATCCAAATCATTGGCATTGCTTGAGTTGACCTATTTGCTGGAATCCCGGCAGGCAGCTACTGGGTCACTAGATCCGCAACAAGGACAGTGGAAAAGGAGCTGCCACAGAAATTGTAAATCGTTTGCAACAACGGCACTCAAAGCACCCCCAGTGCACTTGCACTCTCCACCATGACTGGCAAAAGAGGATGATCGATCAATTACCAGTTCCCGAAAACTGCCCAGCCCCCAACAGCAAGTGCAATCAACTGTCCCACTCGAAGGGACTTGCACCTATCAAGGGGTGCCCATAGCACCCAGCTGGCCTCTCACAGCGTCTCATGTAGTCCTTCCAGTTGCTCTCTTCGTCCAGCCATGCTCGGATCTCCTTAACTGCCAACTTCAGACAACAAAGACCCGGTACAAACCCATTTCAGCTGGCGCTTGCACAGTTCAGACGCCACAAAAGTATCACCAAGTCAGAAAGTCGGCTTTATAGAGAAAAGTGCCAAGTTCAGGCTCAAATCATGTATAACATATATAGTAGATTTAGGGGATTGCACTCATCCTCACAACTCCTGGTGCGCGGGTCTTGTCTCTTTTGACAAACATCCGCCCATGACATGGCAAGTCTCTGGTGCTCTGGGTGCAGAGCCCTCCAGCGGTCGTTTGCGCAGAGCAAAGACCGCGTAGTTGCCTCCAGCCGAATGGAGAAAGCCCCGCTTCGCGAGCGGACGTGTTCGGCCGACCGAGCTTCAAGACCCATGTGTGGCCTTGACCACGCTCATCCAGTGCAATGGGGTTGGACTTACCCCAGGCCAATCCACAAAGCCACTGCCACAACTATTTTAATGCTGCTAAGTCTCCATTCATGAAGACCAGCTCGAAAAAACGCGATCGTGCATGGAGCTTCATGCACCTGAAAAGCTCAAAGCATGACATGGCAAACATGCGTCCGGCAGACATGGACCAGCTTTTGAAACGGATCATTAGGAAAGTCCGAGGTGCATCAAATCTTCCGTCTGGTGCTTCTTGGCGTTGCAGTTCTTTCTCTTGTCGTCCAATTTATATGGTGTGAAGAAGCAGCGCGAATATTCGAAGATAACTAGCTGGGCCTGGCACAGAAAACGGCTACTGCTGGTAGGCTGCAAATGCACATTGGAATAGCCTGCATTGTGGCAGAATGCTACGAAGGCGGTTTATCCTCCCTTCATGATTCTTTGGCTTCCCGGCCGCGGGACCAAGATACTAATGAAAAGTGCGCCATGTGGCCTCTTCCCCTGAAAAAGCATGAAAAATATCTATATAATGGCTAGTGGGAAAAAAAGGTTGAGACCGCAGCTTGGTCTTTCGCTACTTCCCACCTCAACAACCAGCCCTTCCTTCACGACCCTTTCCAGGCATGGCTAGCCTGCAGCTCTTTCATGGTTTTGGCGAAGGATTCTTCCTGGGATGAACGCCCAGCGTGAGAAGGCCGGAACACAGGTAGGGCAGACATACCCCCTGAAGCACCTGCAAGACCCCAAAATGTGGTGGCTTGAAATCGCCCACTGGCCCACGTCCCAGGAAGCAACAAGTTACCAAATGTACATCCACTATCCCCTCCTATCCCCTCTGCCCCTTGGGTGTTCAAGCATCAGAGCCGCAGTTGTAAAGCTCGTAGGCTCGCTGAACTCGCTTTCGCAGATTCTCCGACTCGAACCTAGAAGATTTCAACATCGGTGTGAGGCCATGGGATGATGTGGGTATGCTATATGTCGTATCTGGCACTTTCTGCACGGAAGCCAGGAAAGCCTTCCAGAAACACAGCTGTTGGACCCTCAGCTTAGGGGTTCAGAAGGTTGAAAAACTGTTCCGGTAGAAAGACCCCAAGAAAAGAGACCTAAATCAAGCAAGCAACTGCGGGTGAATGATCATTGGAACATTGGTGAATGCCCTCATGCTTCCGGCCAGATTCATAGAGGCCAGCACCGGGGTGTTGTGATACCTCTCGCGGTTGAACCAGTCGTACAAGTCTACCAAGTCCCCATCATTGGAAAGCTTGTCGGCCATGTGCTGGCAAACGCCTTCGTCCGAGCTAATGCACGGGAGCATCTGAGTTAGCCAGAAGACGTGGCCAACAAAGCCGGATAAAAGAATCGCCAGCAAAGCTCTGGGGCACCACCTTCTTAAAAAGAGCGGGAAGAGTTTCGGACCCCACACGGCAGCAGCCAGAACCATCATCGGTGGGCCGAAGGCCACGCGCAGGCGGTTCACCAAACAACCCAAGAGTAGAAAAAGCAAAGACTGCACAACAAAGAAAAGAAGGGCCGCATCTTCCCCTTCTTCTCCATATATCTTAACGTCTTCCACCGTTTGTGTGGATCCGCTCTCTGCTTTGACCTCCCCTGGCTTGCGCTGCCGAAGTGCACTTCCAGCTCCTTGCTCTGATTTGGACTGTGCGGCAGTCTTCTGGATCGAGACCTTTGGATCAGCTGGGCGAAGGCTGTTATACACAGCGCGGGTAAACACCAGGAGACAGGTAAAGGCTGCTGCCGGCGCGGCAGTTGATTCAAGGTAGACCTTGGCAGAAGACCACTCCAACAACTTGAAGACGCCCATGATGAGATAAAGATTTGCATTGAAACTGGGTTCTGCACAAGATGGCAGTTTGTTTGCAGGGAGATGCCAGCTAGCCGGTAGCACATCGTTGATGGCAGCCGCTTTGGTGCACAAGATCTCATAAACATGTGTGTCGGCTGTGGCAAAAGGCGCTAAGGCTTTCTGAACCAAAACGAAGACAATCACTGCAACCAGGCCTTCCATGACGTGTGAGAACCTGCGGCGCACCCAGGAAATCCACGAGAAGTGTCGCGAGTGCCGGTGACAGAAGCAAAGAGATGTAGCTGTCTTCAAGGCAACAAGCTGAAAGAAGAAAGGCGAGGTCAACAAATACGGACTTCCAAAGTGAACGATCACGGCCAAACCCATCGAGATACAGTATGCATTCAGAATCTCCAAGACCACCGGCCGAATGCTGTCAAAGCCAGCCACTATATTTACAGCGTACAGCGATGTCGCTTGCAAGAGGAGCAGGAAGGGACTGAATTGCCAGGATACAATAAAAGCAAACGTTGTCGCGATCAGAGTCAGCTTAATCAACAGTCTTCTTGACTGTGGTGCCAGGAGCAACCGCCAAATCAAATACGTTTGGATCCAAAGCAATGGGATGCCCCAAAGCTCCCGCAAGTCAGAGCTCGTAAAGTTTCCCAATCGACTCGTCTGAAAGCGATTCCTGACGTCATGTGGCAAGGTCCGTTACACCAAAACCGCACTTCGCAACAGATGGACGGACCAGACCTGTTTCCGACCCGTGCTAGCATCTGACTGAATGAAGAGCTTTGAAACAACAACTCATCCAAACGTCAAACCTTACATCTCAACCTCGGCATGTTTCATGACCCTGGCTGAAACGAGAAAACGTCACTCAAAAGAGCAAGGTGCAGAAAAGAAATCAGGAAGCACAAGAAGCTTGCAAAGGGATTTCCAGAGATTTCAATCGCCAGGAGGCATAGAAATGCCTGTTGGCAAGGACATTTTTGGACACACACTCCAACACAGAAACTCTTTGAAGCTACTTCTGGGACCGACCAATCTCTATGTGTTGCCCGTTCTGTTTGCTTTGTGCTCAGTCAGCCACCGATGGCTCCCAGCGCCTGGCCGATTCCGTTCAAGACAACCACATGCCATCGGAAGAAATGAAAAGGATCCGGCAAAAGGAATCCAATGCTTCTCAGACATCGATATTCAAAGGCTAGCAGGATCTCCTCAGGGCCAGATTTCAGGACCTTTCTGGACCTCCACATGTTATCAAGGAAACAGGCCAACACCTGCTTCAGAAACAAAGGAAGTGCTCAAGGAAAAGTGCTTGGCAATTCTAAGCAAAATGGCTGTATCTGCACGATATCTACGATGACAATGACCAAATCTCGCAATAGCATTATGTCGGCAGGCTGCCACCCAGGACCAGGGCGCTGGTTTTCAACCTGAGCTTATCCCTGTTCGTTTGCCATCACTAAGTATAATGTTTTGTGTGTGTGTGTGCGCTTAAACTCAGCGGGTTGTCTTGTTTGACTTCATGCTACGGATCGCGCAGCGGCACAAGAGGACACATCGCCTTTACAGGGCCGCTTCCCTAAGCGACCAGTCCGTCCTGATAGATGTTGAATCTGCGGATCGCATTCAGGATGTCGGGGCATTCAGTTCTCCCATCCCAAATGATCTTGCGCAGGCCATCACCCAGGAATTCTACGTCCACTAACTCCTGGAAGTAGGAATAGTAAAAGGCATTCCTTGCTTAAAAGGCAAAACAGGACCTCTGTTGCAAAGGCACTAGGTTCGCACTGGAACAAGAATTCCATGCCTTGCAGCAATGAAAGTGATGCCACAACATGTGCCAAGGTACCACCAAGTCTTAATGGGCCTCCTATTCTGGCAAGGACTACCTTTATCCCTGTTGCCGCTACTCCTCCCCACAACTATAAACTTCTAAGAAAAACTCACGTACCGTGGCTCTCTGTCTGCAATGCGGCAGCTGCACTCAAACCAGTTGGAAGGCTATGAAGAAGTCTCAGGTACGCCAAGTTCTCATAAACATAGAGCACTCCTTACATTGGACAAATCGAATTCTGCCCTGCAGGCCTTTGACTGCATTCCGGCAGCCCGGCAGCCCCAATTCTCCTATGTACTAAAAACTGTACATCCAATCAGTCCCAAAATGGATCAAAATGGCACATGGATCAAGAAACATGTGACATGAAAACCAGCACGCCAGCACGCCCAAGGGCAACCTCCAAGGATCCCATGAGTGCCGCTGTTCCGATGGACGTCACCATGGCTAAACGCTCCATGGTGTGCTTGTCCTCTGTGCTAAGTCGCTTCCGAAGGAATCCAGTGAGAAGCTTCCCAGCGGAAGCAATGACAAAAATGACTAAGCCCTGGGGCCCTAGCTGTGCCTTCAGTTTGATGCCGTGCATTTTACTGCTCACAAATCTTGTTGCGCTTGGGCTGTCTTGGGCTGGTGTAAGGCTGGTCTTGAGCTGGGTGGTGGAGGTTCCTAGCCACCACTACTTGCCCGAACGGCCATGCGGCATGAACCTACCAATTGGAATGAGTTGGGTCCATTGTAGTGGTGTTGATGGAGCTGATCTACATTTCTGATCGTTCTGTCTCATTCAGATTGAATCATCTTCGACTGATACATTGATAGCCTTCTTTGAGGCCTAGGGCTGCGATGCCTGGCGCTTGGAAAGGACTGTCAAGCGAGTCAAGCACCTGCCTCGGGCCTCTTGGCCGCCACCTCAAGCGCGCACTCAATGGGCCGATGATCTTTTCCATCGATGGGTGCTGTACCTGAGTTTCCTGGCTTGTGTCTCTGCTCAATTTAGAACGCCCAAAGTGAGCTTCGAGCCCGCCTTGGAAACATAGTTGTGCTGCGGCCCCCCACGCCGCTTGTGTGGGGATTCGGTACTTGCCAGCTCAACCTCTTGACAATCAAAAGTTGGAGCAAAGGGCAGAGGGGCGTGGAGATGCAGCCAGTGCAGCCCCAACAATAGCGTAAAATATCGTAAAATGAATCTGCAGATTGTTGCGGCTACAGGGTGCCGCTCTATTCAGCAGTTTCCTGGGGGGTTCATCTTTATTTGCCTGCGTCCAAACGCCCCTCCGTGTTCCCGGGCCTCGGTTTTCTGAAAGCCCTCGAAGTATGCACAAAAAAAAGAAACCCCACGCACCGAACAGGCACCCAAAGTGAATGTTGACTTGAACAAGGCACCTGATTTCAATTGCAATGGTTTTCACTGCAAGCATCACCCAGCATTAGAATACGGTGCACCAAAACGATGGGGCTTCCTAGGTCCTAGGCTGTAACACGCCGGCGTTCCCTCCTGACTTTCTCAGCACGCCACCGCGCAAAATCTTCCGACAATTCCTCGGCACTTGGCAGGTCGCGCCAACGGTGCTCCAGGCAAAGTCGAAGCAAGCAAATGCATCATGATAACAAGTCCTCCTGTGGATGTGACTGAAGTGTTTATATGTGTTTATGCCTACCCTCAACAGACACCTCATGCGCAGCCACCACCCCATGGTCGAACTGGGAATAGGGTGGCAGCAACAACGTGTATGTCAAAGCTCTGGCGTTCGATGCACGACGTTTCTGGGATCTCCGGCTTGTTCGAGCTTCCGGGATGCGTAGGCACAGGTCTGCCGGCAAGCTTCGCGAGCGGCGCCACGGAGCACCTGGACACAAATACTTCGCAGCGCAGGGTGTGTCACAAAAGGGGTCGGCAATGAGTTGGAGTTTTAGAATGATCTGACAAATCACTCTATCACTTCTCGGGAGTCTAAGAGGCTGGGAATTGCCCCCCTTTTCGCACCTCCTCTGGCAAGGTGATGCCAGCAAGGCTCGGCACCTCCCCCTGGACTTCGATGGCCACCCAGCCCGTGGCGGAAGACCTGAAGATCACGGACTGGTTCTTCGGGCTTCCCGAACCCGTTCTTAAGCGCTGCTTATTTGGGCAAACGGGTTACATCACGTTATATACATCAAGGACACTCAGAGAGGAGACCTCGCGATGGAATGGGACCGACTGACTGAACTTGGAGGCACCCGATTTTGGACTCACTATTGGCATGAATTTGGTCGCTTGCCGGTGTCCCGTTCTACCGGTGGGCCCAACCGCTTCAAGTCTCCGACTCTCCGCCTTTACAATCTGCTGGTGTCCCGGTCCGAGCCCCCTGGCCTCTTCTCTGAGAAACCATCTTTCATGATCCGCAACTCACCCGTGACATTCAAGGAGAAGACCGGGAGTGCGAGATCCTGGAGGACAAGCAGGGTAGTGAAATGTGACATGTGATTACGTCAATTCTGCCCAGATTATTCCGATACAATTGGGACTAACGATGAGCCGGAGGTCGCACTCGCTTGGTTTCCAAAGCCTCAGTCCCTGACCATGCCAGTAGCGAAGCGGATATTCGCCTGGGGGTTCCCAAAAGTGCCAATCTCCAAATACCTGATGCACTCCGCGCTGGAGGTGCCCAAGTGTTTCCACAAAGAACACGAGTGGCCACACGCTCAGCGAGCAGGAATCTAGGAATCTAGGAATCTGTACCCCAAGTGTATCACATAGCACTATGAGTCTACGAGTTCTGAAAAAGAATGCGCCCTCTTGCATGGCGCTCCGCTCGTGACAGCCATCTCGCCGAGTGGCTTGTCCTCGGCACCGCGAATGGCGCCGAAGAGGTTGATCGATGAGGTGGCCCGCCCAAGCCTCAGGAAGAGAAGGACGACATCTGGCATATGGCATGCGGCAGCTCAATTCCATGTGTCCACCTAGGACAGCTGTCTCTCTTAGCAGGTCTCTTCCCCGCATATCATCGCCATCACCATTCAGTAGATAGTCATCACAAGAAACAGTAGTGTTCCAAGCTATCTCTCGGAGAGCATGGTATTGTTGTGCATCTAGACCGTTCTCTCGGAAGGTCTGGCACTCTCCCCCTATTGCGTGGCCTATGCTAAAGCAAAGCAGCCCCATCAAGTCCAGTGCCGGCAAAGAAAACTTGTAGACTTGCATGGGTGAATTGGGTTCTTCCAGCTCCTGAAGCAAAGGCTCTGTGCGCACACATGCCACTTGACATGGGCCTTTCAAATCAAACACCCCAGTGGCTGCTTTGGACACGATGATTCGATGCAAGAGCATGGATCAATTCATATTGAATGTTCTCCCTTGTTTGACAGCCATTTTTGGATACCTTGGCACGCTCGATCTTGGAGAACGCAGGTTTTCCAGCTTGGACCAGGCGATCTACGCTGTTGTCCTGAAACCATTGCAGCAAAGAGAGGGCAGGCTCAGGAATCAGTTTACATGCATCCTGGTACGAAAAACGTTGTATATACTTGTAGCATTCACCGTGTATCTGAGACTGAAGGTTTCCGTTGCAGACCCATCAACATAGTTAGACAAAGTTGTAGAAACCAGCATGTGCGCAAGCAATTCATGTATATACATGTGTCATCTTGTGCCAAGGGTCACCTGGCTCATCACCGTAGAGCCAAGAAGCTGCCAGGTCCGGCGCCCCTGCTAAGGCCACTTGGAACGGTGTCTTGGCACCAAACTTGGCCTTGCTGCCTTGGCTCAAGCAAAGCCGAGGTTGACTACTTCCCCACCCCAAACAAAGGATGCAGGATGCTGCCACCGCCTTCGCAAGGAACAGGCATACAATACAACATATACAACTACAAGACCCAACAAAAGAAATGCATCGAGCAATGTGCAGCCGTGGTTCCCTTGATGTCTATCCATTCTTCACTCAGCCCATCCTGCTGCCGTGCTTGCAGGGCCACAATTGTTTGTCCTGAGCAGCCACCTAGCCAATCTTGTTGTTCAAAACGCAAGCCGGACCCACTGGTACCGAAACAATTGCACCTTGTTCTACTGGTCATCAAAGATCATGTGATGCCACAACTGTGTAATGCGACAGCAACGTCAACACAGGCGCGGGAAAAGCCCAGCTTGTTTAGTCGAAGTGCGGCCAGCGGAACTCGAGCTTCGGGGCCTCAGAGCGTGATGGAACGGGGGCGAGCCACGGCCAACCTTTTGAAGCATTAAAGAATCTAATTAGTTTCAGGTCCTCGGAGCACCAGTGAACATATATATATATATCTTGTTTCTACTAGCTTCTTGCTACTACTAGTAAGGCACTTGTTACTAGTAGCGATGCACTTGTTCCTAGTAGCTTATATACAAGCATAGATGACATGATGACATGCCCCACTATTTCCTCTCCGATGAAACCACTTGGCTGCTAAACCACCCTCCCGAAATGCCTGCTGGCACCTCCAAGCAGCACGTCCATGTTAGCTTAGGGTTAACAGTTCACACCAAGAGAACCCAATGGATGCCGAGCAACCGGGGCCCGCAGACCAGAAAGGCCCAGAAACCGCAGTTTGCAACAAAGGCAGCAGCAATCAGAGTCAAAACTGGCGCGCGGCTGCGCGGCATCATGGCACTAAATTGAAAACCTAATGCTTAGTCACCATACGAAGCTACACAGCTGCTTTCGACGTCTTGGTTCGTAGGTCATTTGAACCATATCTTGTCGTTGTAATGCGCTGACATGTTCCACTCTCAGCGGGTTTGAAACTTGTCGTTGGCCCTCCAACTCCATGACTTGCTTCAGAAATTGCCACCAGTTCACATGCACGGACTTGCCGACGCCGACATCCTTCTCTTGTCAACCCACGTGCTATGAAGGTGAGAGGCTCAAATGCAACGCAACTAAACGCAGTCATCTATAATTGTATGGTTCGGGCTCTATGCCCGGCGAAGCGGGATAAACCAAGGGTGCAAGCAATCAAGGTCAATGGGGTTTCGGGGGATCATGCTCAACTTTCACACCACTGCTATTTTTTGGATTGTGAATTTCCTCAGTGAATGAGTGGCTGCTGTGGTGCCCGGAGCAGTGGTTCGGACTCAAAGGTCGGTTTGAAACTTTCATGAGGCCATCGGCATCTGCAGGCTGGTGGGGCTCGCATGATGGACCGCATGCTTGTCAATACGTACTTTGACCTAGCTTCGCTTGTCTTCAACTGAGAGGTTCAGCAAAGGGATGCTGTCAAACAAATTGTTGCACTCAGTGATGCTGTATCTGTTGCATTTTTCTATATATAACCAAGCAGGTACGCTTGGAGCGACCTGACTTCCACAAGGCGTCCGTTAAAAAATGTGTGGAACCACACAAAAATCCCCCTTGGTTGTCCCGGGGGGCCCTCAAGCTCTAGATTTTATAAAAATCCCTGAGGAATACAACTTCCACTTGCTTATGAAAGCCTGTACCGAGACTCCAAGTCATGAAGCGCAATTCTGTATATTTTCCTAGCGGGTTAGGTCCATCATGATGTATGGGTACCTGACAACGAATTCCCTAAGAATGCCAACCAGGAGTCCTTATATTTTCCTGAGCTTAAAGACAGTCAAGAGTTTTCTTTTCTCGCGGACACTGAAGCTCACAGAGTTGTGACCAAAAAGTAATACTTATAAAATCCTGTGTTTTTTCAGCTTATGAAATCCTGTGCAAATCCTATATTTCCAGGCTGTTCCGGTTATATGTTCCTGCCATTGACGCTGGACCTTGCAACACAAACGGCCCATAAATTTATATAAAAGCGGGGATCACCAACAGGAAAAAATATAGCGATAAGCAACGGGGATCACAAAACAAACAGCCGCGTTGCCTTGCAGATCCTCGGGCGTTGGGCCAAGTAGCATTGCCGTAGGCCATGATGATCGAGCTCAACGTGGCGCACAAAAAATCAAGAGAGTGACATGTTCAATGGTGTGGATTGGCCGGTTGCCTGCTTCAAGCAACCGCTGGTCGAACAAATCTCCGGTCAATGCAAAGGGTCAAACATATTGATTTTCTGAGTTTCATATCAATGTGACCCTTCTCGATGCTTTCGATGAAGGTCTGCTGGGCAAAGCGCGCTGTCTGAGAAGTTCCTGCTTGCCCGAAATGCAATTCCATACCGTTGAAGGTCAAAGCCTGCCTGTGTTCAAAACAATGTTGTGACAAAACAAAGTGTGATGCGGAGATCTTCATTGAAGGTGACTATCTAGACTATATACATGGCATTTGTTGGGAAATCCCAGTGCGAATACGAATGCCGCTGTGGTGCTGTGGCGCGGCGCTGTGCGCTGTGGTGCTGCGCATGCTGAGCCACTCATCTTGCACAAGGGGTCGCACAGAAGTGTTTTTCCCCTTCCTGCGCCGCAGCGAAGAACGCCCCCGCGCGCTATGCACACTGCGTACAAAGGTGAAGGCGGGTGGCTCGGGGCGAAGGGCCCTCACAGCGCCAGGACCTCCACGAGGGGAGGGCACGGCGGCGCACGCCGTGCAAAGAAGAGGCTCACAGACGGGTCTCACGGAATGGTCTCGCAGAAGGACCTCGAAAACAGCAGGTCTTGCAAACGAGTCTTGCAGAAGTCTCGCAAATGGTTCTCGCTAAAGGGTCTCGCAAAGGGTCTCACAAACAGGTCTCGCAATTGGAAGCCGGGCCGATGTCCTGCACATCATGGCATCAAAGCTGTGAACCGGGCGTCTTAGTAGCTTGCTTGGTGAGCGGTCAAAGGTCAGGATTTTGATGTCCCCGTGCAATGATGTGAGTCCTCTTTCCCCCTCCAGGAGGGGGCCGGGCGCGGTGCTACGGTACGTCCTTGCACGGGGCAGCGGAACATGTTCGTCTTGTCCCGGCAGCAGGCTCTGGTGGAAACAATTTTTTCTCAAATGTGGATGACCGAAGATCTTTTGAACCCCTGCCAGTGCCACAGGTTTCAACATTTCCATTGCGTCAAGATTGTTTCCTTTTGCTGGGTTGTCGCCAAACTCCCCGGTGTCGTCAGACTGCCATACCCTCTTTCCAACGCAGTTCATTATCAATGCTCTTCACTGGCAAATTTGTTTTGCTGTTACTTGGGCGTCTTCGAGATCAGCCTCGGTGTCGCTAGGCTGCTTGAAGCTGGGACCAAACAAGTTTCGGAGGTTTTGAAAAAGTTTCCTGTGGGTGGCAAAAGTGTGTTCGTTGACCACCCCAGCGATGGTCAGTAGGTGGCGTTCGACTGGGAGGTTTGGGCGCCCAAAGTTCAATGACAACACTTACATACTTAATTCGTTACAATTTTATTTCTCACCGTCTTCACTGGAGGCGTCGCACAGGGCTGTCACTTGTGATTTTTTTCTCCTACTCTGTTTTAGAATTCGTCGTAAGCCCAGTTTCCAAGCTAGTCGGAGGTCGCAAAACGTATGGGCTAATCAAGGTCCGCAGGCTGGACGGGTCACACAGCAGGCTATGTGCAAGGCGGTGTTGCAATAGGAATGCCGAATGATGTCGTGTAGCTGGCGTGATGAAGTGTGCACAACGATCTCGTTCCACACGAGCCACCAGGAACAGCTCGGCTTGAATTGAAGACACAGCGGGTGCGCCGCAACAGGAACATTCAAGCAAACAATCATTGTTGGGTTTCTTGAAGGGCCAGGAAACCCTCAAAGCGTCACGTGTCTTTCTTCCATCGCGGCCGCCGTGGCCCCCGAAGTCCACAACGCCATGTGGTAGGCGTGCAGGCATCGGTACCAGGATGTTGAACACGTGGAACAGAGGCCTCAAGCTGAGCCTAGGGCTGGTGATCAGGTAGAACATCTGATGGCTGGGGGACGTAGTGTGGGCCTGGAAGTGGAACTTGTGGCGTTTGTGGTCCACATAGCCTGCGCGCTTTCGTGGCCTCTCTCCTCATGCCGCCCGCCGCACCTGGGGCTAATGTCGACGGCGGCATGCCGCCCCTCAGAAATCTTGTTTTCTCGTGTAGCCTGACCAATGATGAACATCCAGGACTTGGCGAGATCGTACCGATTGCGCCGTCGTGTTGTGTGTCTTCTTCTGCCACCTTGACGGTCTTCACGCTTGCGCCGTTTGGGAGATACTGACATACCGTATGCCCTTACGGGTGTTGGTTCCGAACGGTTCTGGATTTTTTCGGTTTGTTTCAATGAAATTTGGGTTGGTCCGCTTATAGTGTTCGAAGATGTTTTGAAGGCGTTGTTGTGTTTCAGGCGGGAAGACCCTGACGGAACACTCTGTATGAAAGCCTTCAACCGTATCCATATCTTTGTTCCTTGGAAACACAAAAGTTACAACATGAGGCAACTATGTTGGGCGGCTGCTTCTGTTTGTCATAACAACCGCAACAACAAAAACAATTATGTCAGCATCGGCCCCAAACAGCTGGGAGGCAAAGGGGGGGCAAAGGGAGGCAAAGCTAAATCATATCAGCCCAGCATCCAGACATGCCATGATAGACAAGAAGGGGGGACATGGAGAGAGTAAGCAAAGTGACCCCAGCCCAGCATCCAGACACGCCATGGAAAACAAAGGGGGACAAGGGGAGACAAAACAAAGTCATCTCAACCACTCATCATACACCACTCATCATACACCACTTATCATACACCACTCATCATACACCACTCATCATACACCACTCATCATACACCACTCAACATACACCACTCACTTTGTGAACCTCCATGTGCAGATTTCGTTTCAGGCACAGCACGCTGTGAACCTCCATGCTTCTCCGAACCTCGACGGGGAAGCTCCGCGGAACGCGGTGTGCGAGACGGTCTCGGGTCATAAGTCATGCTCGGATCATTAGCGGAATCGTCCCTCCATTGGGTGCAGATTTCGTGGCAGGCGCAGAACTTTGCGAACCTCCATGTGCAGATTTCGTGGCAAGCACAGCACTTTGTGAACCTCCATGTGCAGATTACGTGGCAGGCGCAGCACTTTGTGAACCTCTATGTGGAGATGCATGTGCAGAGTTCGTGGCAGGAAAAAAACCTTTTGAACCTCCATGTGCACATTACGTGGCAGGCACAGCACCCTGCCTCCATGTGCAGATGTCGTGGCAAGTGCAGCACTTTGTGAACCTCCATGTGCAGATTTCGTGGCACGCACAGCAATTTGTGAACCTCCATGTGCTGATTTCGTGGCACGCGCAGCACTTTGTGAACCTCCATGCGCAGATGTCGTGGCAGGCACAGCTGACAGGCGGATTACTTTGTGAACCTCCCTGTCCAGGTTTCGTGGCAGGCACAGCATTTTGCGAACTTCCATGTGCAGAGTTCGTGGCAGGCACAGCACTTTGTGAACCTCGATGTGAAGATTACGTGGCAGGCACAGCACTTTGCCTCCATGTGCAGATTTCGTGGCAGGTGCAGCACTTTGCGACCCTCCATGTGCAGATTCCGTGGCAGGCGTAGCACTTTGAGAACCTCCACGTGCACATTTCGTGGCAGGCGAAGCACTTTGTGAATCTCCCCGTGGAAAGCACTTTCTGAACCTCCATGCGCAGATTTCGTGGCAGGCGCAGCATCTTGGGAGCTGGAAGATGAGAACTGGCGACTTTGTAGTACAACTTTAGTATGCGGAATAATCTGGCGAGGTGGAGGCTGAGAACTGGCGACTTTGTAGTACAACTGTAGTACGCGGAGGGA